GTCAGAGCTACTGTCCCCCAGCACCACCTTCTGGACTCGATCAGCCAGGTAGGAACGGAACCACTGTAAAACAGTGCCTCCAATTCCCATCCCAGCCAGTCTGTCCAGAAGGACACCATGGTCGATGGTGTCGAAAGCCGCTGAGAGGTCCAGGAGAATCAACAGGGATGCATTACCCCTGTCTTTCTCCCGGCAAAGGTCGTCATACAGGGCGACCAAGGCAGTTTCCGTCCCATAACCCGGCCTGAAACCCGATTGAAATGGATCTAGATAATCCGTTTCATCCAGGAGAGCCTCATCTTGAGTTCTGTGCCCAGTTCTGGACACCACACTTCAAGAAGGATGCTAACAAATTGGAACAAGTTCAAAGGAGGGTGATAAGGATGATCAGGAGGCTGGAAACCAAACCTTATGAAGAAAGACTGAAATAATTGGGCATATTTAGCCTTGAGAAAAGAAGACTGAGGGGAAATAGGATGGCACTTTTCAAATACCTGGAAGACAATCATAGAGATGAGGGGCAGGATCTGTTCTTGGTCATCCCAGAGTGCAGGACTCATAATAATGGGCTCAAGTTACAGGAATCCAGATTTCATTTGAATATCAGGAAAAACTTCCTGACTGTTAGAGCAGTACAGCAATGGAATCAATGACCTCAAAAGGTGGTGAGTGCTCCAATGCTGGAGGCATTCAAGAGAAATTTAGAAAACTACCTGGCAGATATCCTTTGAATTGTATTCCAGCATTGAGCAGGCAGTTGGACTCAATTATTCTATTATTTCAAGTGCGCACTATGAGGTTGCATATGAGATGCTGGAGAGACACATGCAAATATTGCCCATTTTGTCTGGAGAATCTCACTTTGTCCCAAAGTGAGAAGTCACACAGCCACCAACATTCAAACCCTGACCCTTTATTATGATAATAAGTGGCTGCTAAGCTAGGTTACCCAGTATGGTGTAGTAAAGCAAAGCAAAGCAAAGCGTGCTGCTTATATACCGCCCCACAGAGCTTCAAGCACTCTCTGGGTGGTTTACAAGTTAATTATGCAGGCTACACATTAGTAGTGGACAGAGAGATGGACTAGGACTCTAGAGACCAGGGATCGAATCCTCACTCAGCCATGGAGACCTCTTGGGGGAGTGGAATTTGTAAAATTGCTCCTTAAATTCCTCACTTACTCTGGAAGCCCAATTAGGGTCGCTATTAGCGGGTTTCCAACTTGATGGCACAGAATTAACTATAAATCAAGCAAGGGACCCTTGTGAAGGGGGTCTGGGGAAGCCCCCCCCCTAAAACGAGCAGGATTCAGGGATCTGAATGTCAGGAAGAAGAGCTGACAACTGAAGGGCATCCCTTCTCACCTGATTTGATGGTGGAGGAGGAATCCTTACGAAGGGACGTCAACAATTCGTAATTCTCCTCCATGACCTGGGTGTGCAAAGTCCTTTGCCCTGGATCCAGCAGGGCCCACTCCTCCTCGGTGAAGTAGACGGCCAGATCAGCAAAGGCTGCCTGAAAGAAGCAAAGACCCGCCCGTTAAGGAACGCTCCAGCCATTTCTACGCAGAACATAAAAAGGACATTTTCAGAAGTTTTCGTGCCCGAGGGGTGGGGGGGGAAGAGAGCGGAGAAGGAATTTTTAAAGGAAGATTCACATCTTCAGGCAGGATGTTCCCGAATTAAGGAAAGGAGGCAGGTATTTTTCAGATCAGTGGAGATTTCAAATCAACGAAAGGAAAACCCCAGCCATCTCTCCTCACGCACCCAATCCACTTGTGGAGCTGCGGTTTCCTCTGCACCACAAAGAGATGAACAATCGTGTGTCGACGACATCCTCGGTCCATCTCCTGCAATGAAGAAAGAAAGGGTGGGGAAGATTCATGAGTGTTTGCTTTACCTTTTTATTCTTCTTCTTCTAAAAGGTGACTCCTGAAGGGGTTCATGACCAAAATCAACAAAACAGGAAACAGGTTGTCTGAGCAGCAGGACCTACAGCGGCATCTACCGACCCCACTCTCCGTTTTCTCTTTTCCCTCTGAGCTTATCACCCAGTCCTAAAAACAGCTGGAAGACACACACCGTTTCTCAGGAACAGTACACATTTTTGTAATCTCTCTCTGCCACAGTATGAGAGCGGTTTGATCTTGAGGGGATCATTGAGAGCCATTAGCTGTACAAAAGACCTGCTCCTTGCTGTTGATATGAATCAATCCAATTGCCTTTATTTTTGGACTCTTTTTGTGGGGGCAGGAGAACCATCGGGCTGCCACAGCGTCCCTTTGCCTTTCCAAATTCTCTGCTCCTTACCAAGCAACAGGTCACCTCCATCGTCATCCTCCTTGATCTTCTTTGACTGCAGCCTCTCTCTGGCCTCCGATGGCACCTTTGGTGCCTGAAGGAAAGCAGCATCTCTTTCCGCTAAGAGGACCTGCTGCAGAAAAAAGCATTGGGAATTACAAAAAAAAAAAAAAAAGAGAGAGTGACAGGGAACTGGGAGCAGGTTTTAACTCTTTGGCTGATTGCAATTATACATTTGGAAAATCAGAGGAGAGTTGTAAGATGCCCCTGGGTGTATTCTCGGCCCACAGGTTTGAACTCTTTGGCTGATTGCAATTAAACATTTGGAAAATCAGATGAGAGTAAGATGCCCCTGGGTGTATTCTCGGCCCCTTGGAAGTAACAAGGTGAAACCTGCTCACCTCCCATTCTTTCTGTTTCCTTTCCTCCGCTTGACTCAGGAGGAAGCCTTCGGCCAGGGCCACCGCCTGGGAACTGGTCTCTGGGTCACATTCCCTCACCCAACTGGACATCTCCGGGGGGAGGACGGCCAGGAACTGCTCCAGGATCACCAGGTCCAGGATCTGAAGCTTCGTGTGTTGCTCCGGCTTCAGCCACTGTCGGCACAGATCGTAGAGGCGGCTGCAAACCTCGCGAGGACCTTTGGCCTCCTGGTAGGAAAACTTCCGGAAGCGTTGGCACTCTGCATCCGAACCAGTCATCTCTTCCCCCATGGCCTCCACAGCCTTTGATCCCCCAAATCTTCCATTGCTTCCAGTCCAAATTTCCCCCTCGTCATTTCCTGATTCAGGACTAGATGACTCTTGTTCCTCCATCTTTGTTCTGGGCTCGACGCCAGCACCTTCTTCCTCCATCTTTCTTGTGGGTTCAGAGGCCGCCTCCGAGAGTGGTCAAGAAATGCCTCGTGCTTCCTTCGTATTATGCCTTAAAGCAAAGAGTGCCGAATACGGTATGGATATCAGGTCCAGGACACGTAACTAGAAGATCTGGAAAAAATAGTTCATATTAACACTATCGTTAATGGCTTTTAAAACCCCAAATGACTTGGGACCCACGTTCACAAAGGTGTTGCCTTCTATACAAGCTAATGATTAATTCCTTATGTCTGATAGGAAGTCCCTTGGTCTCTGTCCTACCCACAGCGAAGACTAAGGAGGGGCCAACCTGAGAGACAAGCTAATCTGCGGTGGAGCTCCATTTACTGACCCACACACAGACACAGATTATTTTTATGTTTACTCTGATAATTCAATCATTCAAAGAGAAACTGGAGATAATTATAGATTTCGTCACGTTTTGAAGACTCATTGTAAAGTGCATTTGAGAAAAACCCTGAGGGATTTGTTCATGGCAATTAACTTTTAAGTCTTGTTATTCTATGCATTTTGTGCTCATTATGTGTCAAAATTCACAGGCTGTTCAGGTCTTGTAAACTTAAGCCCACCACTTCCTTTACGGAGTGTCCTGCTTGGCCTTCATCTTTTTCTGCTGCTGTCCTCTCTCCCCAACATCATCATCTCACTCAAGTCCTCCCTTTCAACTTGGCCCAAACTTTCCTTGACTGGGAAATCTCTCGTGTCACTCCTCTTTAAGGTGGCGCCAGAGTTTTTGATCTCGCTTGCTGTCTGAAGCACCCTGTCCAGTTTCTGCAACAGATCTGTATCATCTTAGAACTGCCGAGCTGGAAGGGACCCTCTGGATCATCCAGTCCAGCCCATGTCAAGGAGGCACAAAAGGGGATTCAAACTCCCAACTTCTGGCTCCACAGCCAGAGACCTAAACCACTGATCTAGATTTAACACGGGAACTCCTCTGCAGACCATACCCAGGAGAATCTGGGATTTATCAGCTACAAGTGACAGTTCCCTGTGAGTAAAGATAGCAAACACTGCTGGTACCTTTACCTTGCCCATTTCTCTTCGCCTCCCCATCCCATGCTTCCTACAGGTGGGATCTCTCTGCTTTGGACTACAACTCCCAGAACTCCACAGGCAACTACCTATGTTGCCAAAGGAATTCTGGGAGTTGTAGTCCAAAGCAGAAAAACCTGCACACCTTCAGCCCTCCCCCTTTTCCTCCAGCTTCTGGATGGGCTTAAATGGAGGGCTTCCTTCCCCTTCCACCCTCACCCCCTACAACCCCCCCAAGGCAAAGGTGGAGGGATCTCACCAAAAGCCCATTCAAAGATGGGCTGATTCCTTAACTGAAGCTGCTCCTCCTTGGAAGCAGGAGATAGGGTCGGATCTGCCTTGCAAAAACTCCCCCCCTTGCTTCCAGCACCCCTAACTTCTCTACAACAAACTTTCGGCCGTGGCAGGAAAGGGAGTTCCCCTTTTGTAATGGAGGACTGCATTTCCCATCAACCCTAGCCAATACAGCCATTTGTGAAGGATGACGGGAGTTGCAGTCCTCTGGAAGCAAAGGCTCCTCCCCTTCCTGTCACGATTGAGGGCATCTCTGATACTTTTCCCCCTCCCTCCCCCAAACTGTCTTCCTCTCTAGGAATATACTTCTATGGCTCCATTTTAACCCTTAAGAGACCAAACAGAAGGGTGTTGGGCCTGAAATCATGTTTTTCCTCAAATTTCTCTGTCGCTTACAGTTGCATGGTTGTGCCATCCCCTTTATTAAATGTATCTGATACGTTGTAATCCTTGATCTGCACCAGGTGCTTTTTCTGCAAAAGCTATGATTTGAACTCGGATCTCCTGAATCCTTGTCTTACACTCTATCTACTACACGGCTCAGGGGTGCATCCTGAGTGTATGATTTCCCAGGTTCCTTACATGCTTTTCCTCTTCCCTTTCTTTTCCCTTAAAGGTCAAGAGCATCAGAACAATCACTTTTTTAAAAAAAGTACAGTGCTGCTTCGCTAGACGATGAAATTGCTGTTCAGCGAAATCATTGTCTAGCGAAAAGTATTTCCCTATTGGATTACATTGAAACCTGTTTAATGTGTTCTAATGTGAAAGAATTGTTGTTGTAAAACAAAAATCAGCCATAGGAAAGCCACTTTGTGATCAGCTGTTTAAATGGCTGTCTTGCGAAGCTTAGGTCCCGAAACCACCCGTTTTGCGAGCGCGGAGGGAGCTGTCAAAATCGTTGTCTAGCGAAAATCAGTTTGCAAAGCAGGGGCCAAACATTGTCCAGCGAAATTCCCCCATAGGAATCACTGTTTTGCAAATCGCTATAGCGATAGCAAAAAGTCAATGTCTAGCGAAAAAACTGTCATGTGGGGTAACTGTCTAGCGAGGCACCACTGTACTCCCAGCTCTGATGATTCGTCGTCCCTTCTTCTTCCTCTCTTTTCCAGTTCAACAGCGCTTTTTCTACAGCAGCACAGGACAGGTTGATTTCACCAGTGCTGCAGGAGGTCCGGTGAAATCAAGGGCCGTTCAGAGAATTGCCTTCCAACTTACTTGGCATTCATTGCAGTGAGCCTTTTCCAAGTCCGACCGGGTGTGGACTTCAGCCGAAAGCCAGCACATTAACGTATATTTTGCATGAAGTTTTGGGATCTTTCCATTTTGGCTGCTGTGGCCGCATCAATCTGGGACTTTTTCCTTATTTGGCTTCAGAGAGATGCTTGAATTATCCTTGACTTCTTCAAGCAACTCCTCCTCCAATGCTGGAGAAAAGAACTTGGGATGTATGAATCATAGCATCCAGTTTTCTTATATCACTGTTGTAGTTATATTATAGAAGTATATATTAAAAGCCATTAGGAAAAGGCCACGCATCCCTTAAAATTACACAGTAGCACAAGTAGCTTTCAATGGCGTAATTTTTATGTTTTATGACACCTTAACAAACCACATTAATTCTTAAGTTTTATGAGGCCACTACAAATTTGAACAAAAGTTAATTTGATTTTTTTCCTGGTGTAATAAAGGTTCTGAATATTTTTAGTACTGTACATATAAATCAGAATTGACTTGGCAAGACATGGCTCTGAATATAAGATGCAGCTTAAAAAAAATCATATAATGGTGCATTATATGCATAAAAATGTATACAGTAATTTAACTGTATAGAATGTGGCAACATAGATCTATGTACAGTACCAGATTCAAAATCCTGTGTACAATCAAATTATCAGCTTCCAGCCAAATCTTGCGTTTTCACCCTTGGATTAATGTATACCAATTTTGTCAAAATTTGTAAACTGAAAAGCAAAAACAAGAGCTTAAAACTCCTTTTTTTGGCCAGGGTAAATATAGCACTGGAAAAAAAGCAACAAAATATAGGACTGGAAATATAGCACTGAAAAAAGCAACAAAATAAAACAAAAAAGCAACAAAATATACCACTGAAAAAAGCAACAAAATATAACAAAAAAGCAACAAAATATACCACTGAAAAAAGCAACAACCACCTCTTTGCCTTCTTCATGCCCTAAACACGTGCTCGTTTTCGGGACTGCATGCAAATTTATTCCAGATGGGGAAGAAAATAATAAATTAATTTTTGCACCCAAACGCCGTTTCAAGCCTTTTAGCGCTTCTGGGGTGCTTCGACCTCGCTCTTCTTCTCAAAGGGTTAAAGCCGTGGAGTGGTGAGCCCCAGAGCGTACCCTAGAAAGCGAGAACCGGGGCGGAACG